TGCGTGTTCACATGGAACGGTTTGCATGGAGGTAGCATGGATGTTCCACTGTAAATAGGGTTCTTAGAAGGGAGAAAAGAGAAAGAAAAAGAGTAACAGCGAGACAATTATACACATATTTAACTAGAGCGTTGCTTAACCATTCACGATCAAGTAGACAGTGAGGTGATAAGCCAAGATAGCACTCATATAGACCACTTAAATTAAAGTAAATTATAGTAATATAGCTCACAAATAAAGGAGTATCGCAATAAAATAGGAAGAGTTGTAAAGTGTGTCAAGTGGACAGAAAAGAAGTTGAAGTAAGGAGCTGGATGTCCGTACGTTGACGCCAAATTTCAGTAAAAAGAGTAAATTTTATAAGGAAACACTGATTATTATATGTTTTCACTGTCAAACAATCTCTTGATTAAATGTCAACCTCTAAGTCTTATTGTAAGTGCCTGAGTAAGCAAGGTGAGGGTTGTCTTGACAGAATATCGACCTTCTGTTCTGGAAACATGAGTCTCAGAAGCACCAAACGAATAAGAGAAACCTCAGAAGCATTGATTAGTTACCTCATAGATTGAAAGGAGACGAAAGCAAACAAAATGTTCTGTCCCACAAACGTGAGTGGTTTGAAGTCGTCACCCTACCTGCAGAAAAGCAAAATGAGTGAAGGAAACCCAGAACCAGGCTTAATGACCTCAAGATGTTAACCGACAAACAATCCTAAATGGTAACTCTTGAGAGCACAAAATAAATCAGGAAAGACGATGGACTGATTAGTGATAAATAAGATGTATGTAAATAAGTGGACATGGTTTCATTCCAGTTGTCAGACCACCAAATTTATTGGGCTTTGTACAAACTTTTCAACGAAGTACAAATATCAAAACATCAAAAGTGTTTGAAAAATGAGGTCCGGAGTTTGATTGCGTATTTGATACGAATTTAAACTGACTTCGGAAGCCTTATTTTGACGAAATACGGAAAATTCTAAGGTATAACGAAAAGTATTGTCATTATTGTGATTATCGTCTACATGATATTATTATAATTTTTGTAGTTTCTTCCTTCTTTGCATGTTTTTCAAGTGAACAGAACATTGAGTCATTGAGAAGACACTGTTGTAGGTTTTAGTTATGAGTATTGCTAGACTTTGAACAAGGTTATTAGTATTGGTCACTAAATAGCTCTTAAATATGAATTCTAATTGAAATGGAAATCGACGCCTACTAATCGTTTGCTTGATACGGACTGATGCATTTTTGTGGTAGATTAACATAACACAATGTATTCCTGCAGACAGACAATTTCCAGAAATTCTGCTCATGGATGACAATCTCATGTATTTCCCATCATCATTTTTTCTGCTAGCGGTGACGATTTTGAGCTACGGAGAATGGTCCAAAAAGTAGTTATGATTTCTTGGGTAAAAAATGACTGACAGATTATTTTTTGGAAGCCAGTCCTCAGAAAGTCCTTCCAAATGCATTACAATGCACTATGGTCACCAAAGTACAGATACACACACACTGAATAACATTGAGCCTTTTGTTATCCATAAATACAATGACCCAGGAGTAATTGCTTACCGAAACCCGAAAACTGCGTAATGTCATGAGATAGAGATCATAGGTTTCAGAACCTTAAGGTAACTACACAGAGATGTCTGCCATTTTTAACTTGCATACAAGCACCCAGACTGTGTCTAAAGAGTGATCTAATAGAACAGTTTATTAGGACCATAACTACGCTAATTGCATTAGTCATAAACCTACCATGGAGAGAGACCGGCTAAGTTGGATGGGTGACTTGGCTACAACTTTTGAGTTACTTAATGGCAAGTTTGCTTCTGACACATGCCTTCCAAAACAGAGAATTTACAAGAGGCTGAAAATACCCATATAATTACTGGGTTGAAAGCGTATACTAATTAGTATGTGGAAAAAGGAATAAAATTTACAGCTGAATGTAGGCGTTAGGAATCAAAGCTCATGGTTTCTAACTTGAAGTGATATCATTTTTAAAACTAAAATTTTATTTAACCGTATGGATGGATGAATTTTGCCCTAAGTTTCTTAAATGACTGCCCGAAACGTGATTGGCTTGTCCATAAAACACAGCATAGAATGAGAGACAGTAGTGACATTCAAGTATGTAAATTTGAGGAGGTATGCATAGATGCTATAAGTGACTTCACTTGGCTTACTGTGAATTGTAAGTCGTAACATTATATAACACCCCTGTGGACACTAAATCTGAAAACTTATTAAAATACGTATTTCCTCTTGTTTCTCACCAACCTAATACGCGTAAAACCACTGAAGGAGATTTCATTCAACCGAACATTTCATTGAACTCCACTTTGATGCCAGGATGGTATGACAAGTTAATTGAAACCACAGGATTTTGTGGATGGGTTCCAAAGATCCGAACGCATGTTAAGGAAATGACACAACCTGATATTTACAATCTGCCTCAACCCAATCGTGATACGTGTCGGTCGTGAATTTCTCCTGAGTTATCATTCAGTTTTCTATTTATATTTCCCTTTTTTACTGCTATGCTATCAGACTTCAAGAAATAGGGATGTTCAGTCAATCATAGGTTCTGAAAAATCAGTCGTTTATTGCAACAACCCACATAAGTCACCCCATCATTCGTATTTATTATTCATGTCTCTCTAACATTACTATAACCATGAGTGTGTAACTTTAACTTTTTTTCAATCACTAGTTTATCATTAAATTATCAGTCTAAGTGAGCAATCAATTACGGTAAGTGTGATAGTATTTGTGACAGTTTGATCCTGCCTTTAAACGTGTCCCAAGTAACATTGTTATTTGAGAATAGGTACTGTTATTATCATTGTCAAAGGGATGATAAGAACGAGACAAAAGTTAATATCAGCTATCAGAATGTTATCAAAAGAGTGTTTACCGACAACACCCTTGTTGTATTGAGGCTGCTGGCTGATCTCGTCTCAGGATCATAACTACCCGACAAGGACTGGAGTGGGCTGAAGCGGTAGATAAACCCCCCTACATATTCAATTCTCCAACACCGATGATCGCTCACAGTTACCTTGATTCTAACAGATTACTGCTCCGTTTTAATACAGAATCAAACCTTAGACTACATTTATTTAGGAAAGAACATTAACTAGCTGAAACAATAATCCGTGCGAACTATTTTGTCGGCTTTATCGAGCTGCGACATCCCCTACCAGATGAAAACATGATTGTTTTCAGAGTTTTTCAAAAACAGGCTACTGTTTAGTTTCATAGATACCGAGGGTGATTACTATAAGTGTAAATATGCGATCATTTGCATCATTTGTAACTAGTTTATTTCTTTCTTTATTTCTGGAGGGAAAGAGAGCCATACAAGTACATCATCGAGAATGCCTACCTTCTACCGAGGCGCAGATTAAAAATAACACAGATTTTGAGTTTTTCAACAAACATTTTACGTTTAAAATTTGAGGGACCATCCTTGGTCCACCCCTCTTCCTAATCTGTAATGATGACCTGTTAGATGAAATTAGAGCAGCAGCTTTGATTTGTACGGACAACGAAAGGATCTGAAGGTCCATTAGAAATGAAGAGGATCTGAATGAGCTTCAAAAGACCTTAAAACAGTAGAGGAACAGGTAATGGACAACAAGCGAAAACTTAACCAGTTGAAACGTCATGTCATCGACATGCTGCTCCATGCCACACAAACAGCTTGCATCCTCAGTGTAAGTCTAACAACCACAGAAAGTAGTAAAACCAGTTCAAACTACCTGAGGGATGCAGCCGATGCTAACACAACTTTTCAGTTTATACAAAGACAACTTTTTGCAATCAACCAACAATTGTTCTAAACTTTTTTTAAATCAAACACGTGGTCGCACCTTGAATTTCACGATCTCATTGCAACCCTTCTCCTTAAAGGCGACATATATCTGCTGGATAGGGTGCAAAGACGAGGGACCGAATGAGTAATTGGGTTGAAGAACAAACCGTACGAAGATGGACTGCAGCACTTGGAATTATTCTCCCTGAGTTACAGGAGGATCATAGGGGATTCGACAATGTCATACAACATATTAGGCACGCCAAAACATCCCAAGGCACCACCACCATTCCTCTAGAGGTAATCCTCGAACAGTTGTGCATCAATAGCGAACACTGATGTTCGTCCAAACTAAGAGTCGTTGGTCTCCCAGCCGAGGGGACCATAATCCCATCGGAGGACAGCTTTAGGAAGAGACTTGATAAACACGTACTCACATACGCATTTTCATCTCTCCCTTGAACCACCAGTGCCTGGTGCATGTTTCGACACCTGCTATCTGTTACCACAGTCATTCCCTCAAATCACTAACTTATTCTATCTCGTGTATTTTCTCTGTTTCCTCTTCCATTCTTACATTTCTGTCCTCGCGCACAATCTTCACTACAAACTAAATACCTTATATAACTTTCTTAGTCCTAAAATCTTTCTCTTCTCACTAGAATTAGAATTTTATCTTTGTCATTTCTCACACTGCAACTAACTGATCTTCGGCGTAGTTACGTGATAGATACTGGTATTTAGAATCCCTACTGCCCAAAGACGAAGTCCACCACTCAAATCATGGGATTTACAAAGTCATAAATAACAGATAGCTGACTGGAATTAGTGCAGTCGAGTGGCTGTACTACCATCCATCATACATTTCTAAATACCTGAAACCGATAAAAGAATTGATCATGGAAAAGCCAAACGGTTTGTATGTAACGCATTCGAAACCTTACTCTAAAAACTTCTAGCTTCGTTTATCAGTTTGTCTTTGTCTCATGCTGCTCTTATTTCTGTTTTATGTCTATTGATTTCTTTATTCAATGTAAGTGCATTCCATGTGCTGATTGAGCCGTCGGCTCATCTTTTCCTCTTGTTCTTTCCTCTTCCAGATAACCTCACATGCTGCTCCACATACACTTCCAGCATAAAATGTACCTTCTAGCTAAAAACAAACTAAGCAAAGACTGAAGTTACTGTACTAGCTCGTGAAGAACACATTGAGTTATTGAAAATCGGATAACTGGACGCGTCCGTTTGCGTCTTTTCGTTACTTCTAAATTGATGGCTAATAGGAAAAGAACTGATGTCCTGGATCCAGATTTCACTGTCATCAGACGACAAATATCTAAACTTATGAAACAAAGCATTTCTGACTGTAAAAGCTTTCTCTTAATGTTGAAATCATTGTTTCCTAGTTCAATAAAGTTAGAAGTAAATGTCTAATAATTTGACACACTTAGATGATTGAGTTTGAACTTATGCAAGAGTATGGTGATGCCACCTCGGCTGCTGAGATTCTTTGTCGTTTGTAATCATGCTTTATATCCAGTTAATCATATATATGTTTATGTATAGGTACCAAACTCAAAGGCATTTCGACGTAACGCAGATCGAACTTCTCAGCAAGATAGTTAAGGATCCTGCTGAAAAAGTGTGTTGTGGTAAATTTTATCATATACCTAACCTTCTTAGATATATTTTCACGCCTTACTGCACCACTACAAAAGGATTTAGCATTATCTTACTTCAAGCAGGTGTCTGACGACCTGAGAAGAGCTGACAGCATTATTTCTCTATTAAATTTGAAAGATATAGTCTTCCATCCCCAAGTTTTACCCACACTTTTGGCACTGGCTAATCAAAGCCTCATAGACGGTGAGCATTCAATGCATAAGAGTAATCGAATACCAGCCAGCAGTGAAATAAAGTCCCATTCATCACCGATTGATAAATGTGGAACTTTAGTAAAGTAAATGGTTCAATATATACATCAAGTTGTAGGAATGAGAACTTAGACGAAGGTGAAGAGGGAGAGGTAATAGGATGTGATGATGAGGATGAATTCGCAGATGAACTTGATATTCCAATTACGGAGAACGGAGTTAATCCTTGGACTGATGTATCTAGTTCAGTACTTAATGTTTATCGTTTCAAAATAGCTTATGAGTTGCTTCCATTAGCGCACAAGGTAGTCTCTGTTAATGAAAAGTTTACTTTTTAGGCTAGTACTTCTTCGAAAATAGATAAAAATCTCGCCTACAAAATTTCTGTAACTTCAATCAATTTTCTGGTCACGTACATAACTCATATTCCACCAAACCCATCTATCGAAGGATTAGAAACAAGCGAGTTTTCAGCTAAAAAGGATCCGAAAACTTACATAACAGACTGTTTAAAAATGGCTGGGCATTTACTACAATGGCCTGTTAATACCTTCGATTTCATATCTAGTAAAACCGTAGCTTATCTTGTACAGCAGACTAAAAGTTTGTTTTGGGAGGCTAAGTCTTCATGTGATGGCATGTTCGCAAAAAGAGACTCGCGATCTGGTCGTAGAATGTCGTCATCATTCTCTCCAAATCATAAGTCCCATGGCATAATTTTTCAAGCGCTGTTTATGTTTTGGTACACATTTGTTGATTTGAGTGCGTCTTATTTGCACAAAGTCCACAACAGGATCTTTAACTGTTGTGTGGTAAAAACCACTTCATATGGAGTCTCATACTTACCTATCAATCTAGATGTCCTATTCAAGTCAACTCCCGACAAAGATGTTTCTTTTGAAAATGAAGAGATGGTCCTTTTGAGCCACGCACATGAAGTTTGGAATCTTCGTGAATATTCTTCTACTTCATGTTCATTTGGCAGCAAGGAAATTGATTCATTGGATAATGTTCATCCATATGCCAGTGAATCATCCGAAACCAAAAAAGAAACACTGTTTGAGCAAATTATTCGTTTACATTTTGCCTTAAGTGGCTTAAATAATAGTCCACAGGAGATAATATGGGCTTGCCACTTTGTCAACAAATGTAACGACCAGTTAAAGTCGCTTTCATCCTCTGATTGCAGCGTATATAATAGTGCCGAGCTTAAGCTTATATCGTGGATTCTTCATATACTTTTATTATCTAACGACCACGAAAAGTGTAAGCTATTGAGCAGGTCAGATTGTTGTAATGGATTTTGGGATGAATTCCTCCATGAGTTCAAATCACTATTATTATCAGTTAGCCAGAGTAGAGAAGCGAAAATCCGCATCCAAAATAATTGTTTTCTCGTACCACTTACACGTCGCTGTATAATTTTTATTGTGTCAAAAACAATAGCAACTTGTTTGTGTACTATTTCTCGACAAACAACAAACCCAACTCTTGCCGTTAACTGTGCTTGCTTGGCATGTGTACTTTGTCAAGTTGATGGAAGGTTTGGTGATTATTTTCATCCGGCTGCTCACTGGCCATGTCTGTTTCCATACTTCTCGGAAATAATACATGCTCACTGGGTCGATATACGAGAGCGTTTTCTAAACTGGATCATCTCCCCGCATGCATTCATTTTCGATGTTGATTTGTTAAATACTATTTTCCGATTGGAATCTAACGTCGGGATGGGTACTGATTGGTAAGTTGGCTATTTGTTTCTCGTACTTTAGGTATTACACTACGTTTGTACATTATTTATTTGCTTATTTGATACCCCGACCATTAAATTTTTCTGTTATTGCAAATTTTTGTCTCGTATTTGCAGTCATGAGTATGATGATTTTATTTCTTCCTACATAGTAGGTGATAATGACACTTTTTTTTATGTCTAAACCTCCTTTTGCCCAAAGTTATTGAACAAGTCAGCTTTCACGTCTATTAGGTTTTTGAGTGCTGAGAAGCTGTACTATTTAATAAAGCCTTGGTACATTCCGCATACTACGCAACCAATATCCAGAGACTGAGTTGTCCTCAATACATAGAGAGCGTTGCATTAAAAAATTTCGCTCAGGTGTGTAATCATTTCCTCAAGTTGTTTAGATTGTTTTAATTCATATAATTCATTCCTTTTGATAATCTCACTTCAAACAATAATCATCTTCCATCAGTGACAGGTAATATGTTATGTTATACTCGCTTCGGCGGTATACATTCTAAAATTGGAACGATATAGAATAGATTAGCATGGCCCCTGTGCAAGGATAACACGCAAAATCGTTAAACGTCCCATACCTTTTCCCGACCGTAGCTGCTGCCTTGATGTGGTGGTCGGGCTTGCCCATTGTGATGACTCAACCGAGCTATACTGGCTGGAACATATGTTCCTGTAGGTTCTATCATGCCAGGCAAGTCGATTGGACAACGATGGGTCTAAAAGCAGGTACTCAAGTCTGAGGGCGAAATCGTACTGCTGACTGCAGAGGAGTGTGTTTCCATCGGACAACCAGCAGCTGCAGCGAATCTGCCGTCTCACAAGGAAGGAAGGGTTAGAAAAGGTCGACCCTAAAAATGTCACCTCACCTTACTTCACGGATTTCCATCTCCAGCGGTAAGGGTTTTTAAACAAGAACGGAGCTAACACTTTAAATACTACCCAATAAAGTACTGTGTGTGACCGACCTCAAGCAGTTGTCCCTTGTGCTCTGCAGTCACGCTCCGAAGTCGTTAAGACGGACGCTAATCTACCTTCCTTCTCAAGTTCTCCAAGAAGCACCCTTCCAGGGTGTGGGCAGACGAGAAGTGACAACCGCCCTCATACTCGTAACAACACGCGAGACCGAATCGGTCACAATCAAATCCTTCCTACCCCCTTAACATCTCTCTTACCTCCACGATCAACTCTTGTCACATTCCTTTATGACCCCGTAACGCTAATGCAAACAATGCGAGTTCGCGAAACGTTATTCCTGGTCTCCTGAAACCCCGTTCTAAATTACATGTTGGAGCACTTAATGTCCGAACATTGTGTCAAATAGGTCAACAGGCTTCCCTAGCTAGGACTTTAGAATCTTGCGCCATCGATGTATGCTGCGTCTCGGAAACACATATACAGGATCCTAGTAAAATCATTGATTTGATTTCACCTTGTCAAAATAAAGAAGCAGCTCGATTTACTCTTCGTGTATCTGGAAGCCCAGATGCTGCTCCTCGAAGTCTCACTGGCCCGACCGTAGCTGCTACCTTGACGTGGTGGTCGGGCTTGCCTATCGTGATGACCCAACCGAGCTATACTGGCTGGAACATATGTTCCTGCAGGTCCTACCATGCCAGTCAGGTCGATTGGAGAACGATGAGACTAAAAGCAGCTACCCAAGGTCTGAGGGCGAAGTCGTACTGCTGACTGCAGAGGGGTGTGACAGCAGTAAGTTGTTTCCCTCGGACAACCGGCATCAGCAGAGATGCTGCCTTCTCACAAGGAAGGAAGGGTTAGAAAAGGTCGACCCTAAAAATGTCACACCTCCCCTAACTCACGGATTTCCGTCTCCCTGGGTAAGGGTGCCCACTAAGGGCCTTTAAGAGCGGAGCTAATCCTCAAAAAACCTTTCATAAAAAGGCCGTATGTGACCGGCCTCAAGCAGTTGTCCCTTGAACTCTGTGGTCACGCACCCAGGTCTATAAGACCAACACTAATCTATCTTCCTTTTCAGGTCCCTCAAGAAACAACCTTCCACGGTGTGGGCAGACGCGAAGTGACAACCGCCCTCATACCCGTAACAGCACACGAGACCAAATTGGTCGAAATCAAACCCCTCCTACACCCACACACGCCTCTCTTCTCTCCACAACGAACTCGACTCACAGTCCCTTTTCTCACTGCACCGCTAATGCAGACGAAGCGAGATCACGAAACGTCGTTCCTGGTCTCTTGAAACCCCGTTCTCGACTACATGTTGGAGCTTTTAATGTACGGACATTGTGTCGAATAGGGCAACAGGCATCATTAGCTAGGACTTTAGAAACTCGTGCCATCGATGTATGCTGCGTCTCGGAAACGCGCATACAGGATCCTAGTAAAGTCATTAACCTGATTCCACCTTGTCAAAACGAAGAAGCAGCCCGATTCACTCTTCGTGTATCTGGAAGCCCTGATGGTGCTTCCAGGGGTCTTGCTGGTGTAGGCATAGCGTTGAGTCCTAGGGCAGAATTATCTCTCCTAGACTGGATCCCAGTGGATAGTCGTTTGTGCGCAGTCCGACTGAACGGGACAGTAAGGACTCGTAAGGATAGGGACACTCGTCGTTGCCTCTTCGTCATATCTGCCTATGCCCCCACTGACTGCAGTGCAGACGAGGTTAAAGATGAGTTTTACAGAAAGCTTTCGGACCTCCTCCAAAAAGCCAGGCGCTCTGACATAGTTATAATGGCTGGTGACTTTAATGCTCAAGTAGGTAGACTAGGTGAAAAAGAAAGACATCTAGGTGGATGTTATGGTGTAGCGACTGAGAGAACAGACAATGGCGACCGTCTGTTGCAACTATGCTCAGATAACCGCCTAATCTTAGCGAACACCAACTTTAGGCATAAGGAAAAGCATCTGTTGACCTGGCGACCCCCGAAGTCGTCTCAACGCTGGACTCAACTAGATCGTATCGCCATCAGCCACCGATGGAGGGGTTCGATAGAAGACTGTCGCTCTTTCTGGGGCACATGTTTGGATTCAGATCATGCTCTAGTGCGAGATCGTATCTGTTTGAGGCTTGCTGGACGTAGGAAAGACACCGTAAGGAAGCCTCTTAGGGTTCTACTTAATGATAATCAAACTAAGAAAATATTTCAGGAGCAACTAGAAAGAGAGTTAAGCAACAATGTAAGTGATTCCCATCCAGAAGCAGGTTGGTATGATATCAAAAAGGCTGTGTAAACAGCAGTGATATCTGCTAGTAAGGTAAACCATAAGGCTAGGATGAAGCCGTGGATTTCAGTCGCATCCACCGAACTGATGGATGCTCGAAAACGCATCCCACCTGACTCTGAGCATGATGAAGAGCGTAGTCAGCTTAGGCGGAGACTTATAAAAAGTCTGCGTAACGACCGCGAACAGTGGTGGGTGGCGAAAGCAAAACCGATGGAAAAGGCAGCGGCGATCGGCAACAGTAGACAACTTTTCCGCCTTATTAAAGAAACTGGTATTAAGAACCCGAATGTGGGTGAGACTATCTCGGAAAAGGATGGTCTTATTATCCATTCTCAATCCAGGAGACTGGATCGATGGGCAGAACACTTTAGGGATCAGTTCAACTGGCCACGAGCCACTCTTCGGTTACCCACGATCTCCAGTCATCCTGAATGGCAAATCGACGTAAGTCCTCCTAGTCTTAATGACGTTGAGAAAGCGTTAGGAAATCTGAAACGAGGACGAGCTGCAGGTCCTGATAGACTGACCCCTGAGATATTTAAGGATGGTGGTCCAGTTTTAGCAGCTAGGTTGACTGAGATCTTAGGTAGAATCTGGGAACTGGACGCAATCCCATCCGACTGGTCTCAATCCTTGATTGTCCCAATCTATAAGAAAGGACAGAAGTCTTCTTGTGACAATCACAGGGGAATAAGTCTAACTAATATAGTATCTAAAATACTGGCCTCAATAAAACTTCGACGCTTAACGAAAGCTCGTGAAGAGCAGACTTGAGAAAACCAGTCTGGTTTTCGACCTGGACGTGGTTGTATAGACCACATCTTCACACTACGACAGGTCCTGGAACATAGACACACATTTAGGCGTCCTACAATAGTTGTTTTCCTAGACATTAAGGCGGCATTTGACTCTGTGGATCGTGAGGTTCTGTGGCAGTGTCTGTCATTGAAAGGTGTACCAAAGAAGTACATTAACCTTATACAAGCCCTTTACTCGAACACCACTGGTCGAGTGAGGGCTCATGGCGATCTGTCACCGGAATTCTTTACCTCAACTGGCGTCCGTCAGGGATGTCCACTTTCTCCATTCTTGTTTAATTTTATCATAGACATGCTCCTAGAAATAACCTTATCCTCGTCTGAATTTTCTGGAGTAGACCTTCTACCAGGTGGCTCGCTTATTGACCTAGAATATGCCGATGACATTGTTCTACTTGGTGAAGATGCTGACAAAATGCAGTCTTCTGACTACCCTAAGCAACAATGCAAGCATGTTCGGGATGCGGTTCTCACCCTCGAAATACAAAATGTTGCTACAAGATTTGGTTGGATCGGTACCTGAACTAGTGATAGGGAGTGAAGTAGTTGGACGTGTAGACCGCTTCACTTATCTGGGGAGTCTCATCAGTGCTGATGGCGTGGTGACTGACGAAATCTCAGCTCTGATACAGAAGGCTCGATTGGCTTTTGCCAACCTGCGTCACCTATGGCGTAGGCGTGATATCCGTTTGCTGACTAAAGGACGAGTGTACTGTGCAGCAGTTCGCTCCGTTCTCCTATATGGCTGTGAAACATGGCCAGTGAGTGTAGAAGATATTCGTAGGTTACTGGTTTTCGATCATAGGTGTCTTCGAAGCATTGCTCGTATACCGTGGGACAACCGAGTAAGCAATGCTGTCGTTAGGAAACGAGTACTAGGTAAGGATGGCAGATCAATCAATGAAGTGGTGAAACTTCATCAGTTGAGGTGGTTGGGACATGTCTTGCGTATGCCGAACCACCGAC